CTGTCTGATGGTTAGCTGGTGGTCACCATGGTGACTGAAAGCACTGGGTCATGTATCTTCTATTCAACTATCTAGCTTTGGCCTTGTTTGTTGAATGGTAGTCAAAGGATCACAAAAACAGAGGGGAGAGCTTGCTCGATATGCATTTTTCAAATCTCTTTATAAATCAGTCTTCAAGTATCTATGCCATATTTTCCATAGCCTACGGTCCAGAATAAGTCATATGGCCAAGTTTTCAATCATCATAAGAAAAGCTAAATAAAGATGTGCCAGTAGGGAAAGGAATTATCATAGTCATTTTTACCAAAAAAGTTTCACTTACATGTCATTTATAAAGGAAAGAATCTCTGTCTCTTCTTATCTGTCTCCTGAACATGTAACACAGTCCCTCTCATTGTGTTGCATGCTCTACAACTAGTTCTTTTCCGCCCCTCATTGTGAAGTATTTAGAAGACAAAAGCCATTTTGCTTGTATGAGCCAGAGTTGACAATTTTAATGAAATGAATAAAGATTTCAAAAGTAATCCTGGACCTCAAATGCCACCCTCATCAAAAAAAATGTATAAGCCTTCCCAGGATTTGAGAAGAAACAAAGCTTGTGTGATTTCTACTGTCAACTTCCTTGCAAAACTTTCCAGCAACATTCTTTTTTTCCCCCCAACAACATTCTTAAACTAAAGTGCCAGCAATGCACCAGCTCTGTCCCAAGGGAATTCACACATGTCATCTCTGCATATTTTTATCACACACTTCCTGCATCAATGGCTCTTCAATTTGCTGTGGTTTGGGAAATGTCAGAAGGAAACATTTATAAAGTCTCCCTTGTATATAGACATCTGGCTAAAAAGTAAGAAGGCCCACAGATGAATTTATGGAAGCTTAGCTTTCTTCCTTTTTAATCTTTTATCCAAGATTTCATAAAATTCTGATAATTTATCAAACAAAACTATTCCCAACCACACAGACACACACACACACACAGACACACACACACAGACACACAGACACACACACACACACGCACACACACACACACACCTGACCTAGCAAAGTCATGGCAATTAGCTGAGGATGTATCTGACTCAAGCAGCAATTATCCTTATGTTGTAGTGATAAAACAGACATCCAAACAACTTCATAATTTAAAACTCCCGTATTTAGCACTCTTACTGCTTGAACAATATCTCTTGCTGCAGTCTCTAGTTAGAAGCATTCTGGTGGGGAGTAAGGCAAGACTAGACATGGCAAGACTACGGTCTCTTTTTGTTTTAAATTCCACGCCTGTCCTGGCCTGGCAGCTGCTTAAAATGTTCCAGCTGGTCTTAGTTGACCAGATGGCTGAAAATGAAGGGGAAATTTCCTTATGCAGAAAATAGGGCATCACAGTTAATAATGGCTAAAGACACTGCCTCTTCATTTTTGCTCCAAGGAAATGGTTGTGGACCTGTCAGAATCACCCACAAACCTGCACCTCCCTGCTGTCCCTGTCCAGTGCTTGTCCTATCTTCACAGTATCTGGACTATGGTCACAAATGAGAATTCAAGTTGTACTTCAGAGTAGCTATAAATCATGCAGCTAGAGTAACAAACATGGAATGAAGGAAAACAATTATTTAATCTCTACTGGATATCAAGTCTGACTAATGTGTCACAGTCTCCCATTCAATTCCTCCTGATATTTTCCTGTAGCTTGAAAAGGCAACAATACACCCAGCCTTTAGTTGGCCAGTGGGGGTTTCATGCTCCAGATGGTTAGAACCTTGCCAGAAGAACCACTTCTTGGTGGTGGGCACAGATGTATATTTAAAAACCAATTATACAGCTTCAAATGGGAAAATACCTATGGCATTTGATTTCCTGTATTTAGGGAAGGGGCTGAACTTCTGAAAGCAAAACAAAACAAAAATAAAGAGCTTCGGTTGGCAGGAAGGCATGAAACGATGTTGGAGTCCATAAATACAAGTTTCTTACTTGAAATGTGTTTAAAATTGGGTGAAACATGCTGGAAACCTGCCCAGATTGCCTTCTCAAAACCTTATTTTATAAATGTAGCCCAAATATTATTAGGAAAAGGTCCTCATTGCCTGAAATGACCTTTATTTCCTCCTCCTTCACCTACTTCATATGCTTCAGAGCATCAGCTCAGCTTCCCTCCTCCAGGCCATTTTCCTTACATTGTTCTTGCTTCCTCCCTTTCTCTTTCCCTCCCTCCATAACTCCCTCCTTCTCTTAATAGATTAGGCATCCTCCTTGCTAGGTCCTTCTATTCCATATTGTTTAATAATCAACATTCCAAATGCCTGTTTCTAGCCCACCAGATTACAAACCCCTGAGGGTAAGTACTATTTTCTTTATTGATTGATTCCCAATGTGATGCATGACACAGATTAAACACTCAATGAGTTTTAATTGAAAAAAATCTATGGATGGATGAATCACAAATTAAATTATACTGGGAATACCATTGAACTATAAGTATTTTCTATACCGTTCATTAATTCACTAACCAACTGTTTAACTAAGCACCTACTATGAACCGTGTGTTGTATATATATAAACAAGAACAAAATCAATGAAGTTGTTCTCATAGGAATAAATGTGTAAAATTAAGACTGCTTACACTGAGCACCAGTGCCTCACACCTGTAGTCCTAGCTACTCAGGAGTCTGAGATCTGCTGATCATGATTTGAAGCCAGCCTAGGCAGAAGAGTTTGTAGATTCTTATCTCCAATTAATCAACAACAAGCTGGAAGTGGGAGTGTGACTCAAGTGATAGAGTGCTAGCCTTAACCATAAAAGAAAGAAAAATCAAGAGGTCTGAGGCCCTGAGTTGTAGCCCTGATACTTTCATGCACACAACCTCCTGAATAGCTGGGATTACAGGCATAAGCCACTGGTACTTGGCTAGCATGCCTCATTTCTAAATTGCAGTGTGCACATTTACTCTGTAAAAATGTGTGTTGCAGTAGGCACTGGAGCAGCTCTACAAAATAGCACAGTGGAGTTACCTGTTTAGGGATCACAGTTTATAAATTAAGATGAATATTTGGTATGGATGCAGATATATAAGTAAGCCTGTGGTCAACTTGTTATTTTTCCTGAGTCATTTTGTATCCCCTTTTGGTTTCTCACCACCATCTATATGAGTCATATCTCCTCTCAGTCACTTGAGAGCCAACTGTGGTTTGTAACAGCCTAGGAAAAGTATACAGAAGAAGAGAAACTTGCTAGTAGCAAAAGAATAACAACCATGTGTTCAGAACTAAGTATTCAGTGACTTGATTTATATCCTCTTTTGGCTTATCTGCGCTCTTGATTACATCTGCATAAAAAGAGCACTTGTCAGTGACCACTTAGTTAGAAATGGTTTTGACTATTGATACAGAATCCTAATAGCTTCATCAGATGAATAACAAATGAATTTCAATGCAAGCTCTCTCTGGGATAATAAATGACTTCTCTGCTCATAGCAATGGGCAGTTGAAGGCGAACTCATATTTTGACATTATCTGTTCACAGTTTGTCACTAATACTTGATCTTCCTATTAAATTGTAAAGTATATGGTTGTGCATCCTGAGATTTAATGAGATGACATGCAGTGATGGCAATAACTAAAAACTACAGAGACATGAGCAAATGAATGTGTCTGGGATGGGGGCATAATACAGGTTAGGGTTTCTATTCAGTCAAATTGGTCTGTGATTATGTAGCTGAAGAAAAAGCAGTTAATATTTCTGACATCTGTATTCCAGTAAACATATGACATGAGTGCATTATATTATTTGTTATTCTAGAAAATGCAAAAAGTATCAGAGACAGCTCTGTGTGTTTCTTTATGGGCATTAAAAAGCGAATATTTATCTTTGGAGACATGGAACTTGATTAAGTTGCATTATTATTTCCCCTGTATTTATTTAATCCACCTATATTCTAATTGCAGACCTTCTCAATATTGTCATCTTATGTTCCAAACATAGGAGATAATATAGAACATGATCTAATACTCCTCATCATGTCAAATGCAGCAAAACTGAGCATAAGCTCAAGCCAGCAAAGGCAAGGGATTACATCTCAATTATTTCCTGGAACTGGATTTTGGAGAGACTGCTCAACCAGAGTGAGACAGAGTACACTGAATACTAAACTGGAAAATCAAAGTCAATGGCTCACTATGCTCTATGAAAGGAGAAAGCACACAAGAAGTACATTTATCATTACTTATTTAAGCAATAGTGACAAATGAAGACAGCCTGCCTTTCATAAGAATGGATCATACAGTCTTGCATGAAGCATTATTTTAGAAGATACAAAATGTGTATGTGCCCCTGAAACTCACCCCATGCCTCTCTGTTAACCTGCCACCATTTCTTTTCCTCTTTTATTTTACAATCTTTGAGTGAGTCCACTATTTCTTCTCTAAGTAACTATGTCAGTCAAAAATAACCAATCAAAATAAGATTAAACAAGAACCAATCAACCACTAAAGGAATTAAGGTTTAGCAAACATCCATCTGTCTGATTTTGTTCATCCTAATATTATACATTCATTTCCTATAGATACTTCCAAGATCTTAATTCCAACTTTTATTGTTGCAAATTACTTCACTGGACATTTGGATTGCAATAGCCTCACCAATAAATAGTTAAGAATGCAACATAAACTACCTTTGTCTTACTCTAATTCCCACAAGTGTCGTGACTCATAAACATCTGAGGTCAAAATCACTCCAGGGTTTCTTCAGATCCCCGGGCTATGTTTCTGGTATTCTTCCTTCCTCTTCTCTCTTTATCTAGATCCTGTTTTTCTCTAACCAAGCTGATTTTGAAGATTTCCCTATATCCTCAGAGCCCTAACGCTCTCAAATTCAACCCTTTAACGCACTCACATGTCCAATAGTACTTGAATGATGGCAAAATTTCTGTCCTCACAGAATTCTTTACCCCACAAGAACTTCAATGAACTTCTCAGTTCATTCTTTGCCAAGCACACTTTCTTACCTTTGGCAGAGACGCCCTAGAACCTGAACTCTGGGTGGTCATCGTTAAGACGGTGGTGATGCCCAGAGCAACCCTGGCAGGTGCTGCATCCATGTTTATCCAAAAGGAAACCCAGGACAAAATGACAATCAACAGGCTAGGGATGTACATCTGGATCAAATAATATCCCATCTGGCGTTCCAGGTGAAATTTGACCTCAATGCAGGTAAACTTTCCTAGAAGTAAGAAATAATAATTTAAATTATAATTTGAATTGATCTTTCCATTTCAGAATCCTATTTTATCATTATTTTTAAAATAGATTCATATGGAACTAGGGAGATAATCCAAAATGCTCATGACATAATCTATTCGATTATTTTTTAATTCGACTACTAATAGAAATACTAATGTGAGAATGAGTAATCTGAAGGGTCACTGGACAAACATTCTAATTAATAAGTGGGCCTTAAATTGCTCTGTTTTCAAAAGAAGTGCAAATAGACAATATATGAGGAAGTATTCAAAATTCTTCAATTATAAAGGTAATAAAAATGAGAACAAAATTTCTGAATGATAGGCATGTAAAACAGACTCTGAGTTGTGGAGTGCCCGTAAAAGTTAAGATGGCCACCAAAGAAGGTGAATAAGAGTAAATATGGCTGGAATATCCTGTTGAAATTGATTTAAGAAATGGGAGAGCGGCAATGAGGAGTCAAGACAGAGGAGGAGAGTATGATCAGGTTACGCTGTACACATGTATGGAAATATCACAGGGAAACTCCTTGCACAACTAATATACGCTAATAAATGTTTTAGAAGAAACAAAATACTGAGATTTCATCTCACCCAAGTCAGAATGGCAATCATCAAGGAAACAAACAACATAAAATGTTAGTGGGGATGTGGAGAAAAAATAACCCTCATACAGTGTTCTTGGGAATGTAAGCTAGTACAACCACTGTGGAAATCAAAATGGAGGATCCTTTCTTCAAGAAATGAAAACAAGGATACAGATTGACCCATTATAACAATGAGATGTGGAAGACACTATGTTGAAAACGAACTTTACAACTTGGGTCAGGGAGGAGTTGGCGAGGTTGGGAGGGAAGGGATAGTAGGGGGAAAACAAAGGAGAGGGTAACAATGCTCAATAGGAAATGTACTCATTACCTGACTCATGTAACTGGAATCCCTCTGCACAATATCTTTACAATAATAAAAAAATGAAAACTAGGACTGCCATATGTTCCAGCTATACCACTGCTGGGCACATATTCAAAGGAATGTAATTTCACATACAGTCAAAGGCATGTAATTCCACATACAGTAAAGATGCCTAAAATCTATGCTATTAGCATTACTGCTCATAGAAGCCAGGCTATAGAAACAGACAAGATGGCCATCTAGTGATAAATTCATAAAGAAAATGTGGTGCATTTGAAAATGTGGTGTACAGAATGTGGTATATAGGAAAATGGAGTAATACCTAGCTATAAAGAAGTACAAATTTGTGTTTGTAGGAAACTGGATGGAGCTAGAAATCATGTTCAGTGAAATAGGCTAGATTCAGACTGGCAAAAAAAACTGCAAGTTTTCATTCCTATGTGGAATGTAGATATAAATTAGGACATGAACATAGCCTGGAGACTGTTTCTGGGGAACCAGTAGGAGGTGGGTGGGGAAAAAGGACAGAGGAAAATATGAGTGAAGTGGTTTGTATGGACATGCAAAAGTTGTTTAATGAAATCTATTAAAATTTTGCATGAAAGTTGAAAAAGAGGGTTTGAGGACAAGAAGAAAGAATAATAGAGAAAGGGTGAACATAATCAAAGGGTATTATATTTATGAATAATAATGACAACCCTCATTTTAAGATTAATACATACTAATTAAGGAATTATTTAACTAATTTCATATAGAATATTTCATTTTCTTTTAAATCTATGCTTGTAGCAGACTGAATATTCTAGATAGAACTTCAGACTGATAAACTTGCCAGTGGAAGTAAAGAATTCAAAATTTTGCAGTTATAAATATGCACTACCTAACATATAGAACAGGACCTATAATATATACTCTATAGCATGTAATTCATTTAATATATATCATATAATAAGTTATCACTAAAACTACTTGGTCCTAAGTGATAAGAGGAGAGCTCAAAAATTTTGAATAACTGTATTATTCAAGAGAAAAATGTACATTTTTGTGTGCAGGTACCAGGGCTTGAACTCGGGGTCTGGGAGTGTTCTTTCGCCTTTTTTTATTCACAACTCGTGTTCCATCATTTTAGCCACACTTCCACTTTAGGATCTTTGGTGGTTAATTGGCAATAAGAGCCTAATGAACTCTCTTTCTGGGCTAGCTTTGAATCATGATCCTCACATCTCAGCCTCCTGAGCAGCTAACATTACAGATGTGAGCCATCAGGGCCTGGCTAAAATGTATATTTTTAGAAACCATATATACCCTTCAGTCATTATACAAATTCCCTAGCCTTTGTGTAATTGCTTGAGGACATTTGGAATTTCCCTCAAAACTGTTAACAATGTCAGTTCACCTATGTGAAAGAATGAATATAAAGATATTAACCTTTTAACATCCTACTAGGAGGAGGAAGATGTTCCTGCCTTCCCCCCACATTTTCCCCTCTTTAAACTGGTCTGCTCAGCGCAGGACCCAAACCAGTTACTTTGACAAACCATCATGTCTTGATTAAATTTCTCCGTGGTATCATACATAGGCATTTGTAGGAAAATAAATCAACTTTCCTGGGCAAGTATAGTCTTCCAGGCAACAACAGATGCCCACATGTTGATACTATCTGCAATCCATGGCCTCTATGTCTATCAGCACTACTAATAACACATGACTTTAGGACCAGATGAGTTGTTTCTAAATGATGTTCATCCAAGCTCCTATTGTTTTCCAGGATTGTGGAGCACAACAGCTCTATTTTCAGGTTGATGAAACCCCATTATTACTGCTTTCTTCCACTAAGGCTGGGTGTGCAAATTGAGCTCAGGATCCAACACAAAGATGGCTGTCAGGAATGTGCCAGGCTTTGTTTCCTGCACCCCTAATGTGGTCTCCTACACCTTTCCGCAGACTCAATTGACAGCAGATGTTTAGCAAGAGAATAACAAAAGATCGCTAGTTCTCTCCTTTTCTGTCTTTGTTTTGGAGAAATTATCTATGTGCTCACTGATCTATTCCAATGAGTATAGGAATTGTATCTGTCAAGGGGTTTTTGAGCTACATTTGCTTGGTAAATGCATCGGTTAAGAAGATATGTCCTATCTACTCTCAGCAACCAATGGATCCCAGTTGGGTTTAGGATGTGATAGAAGACTTACTTACCAGTGTTATAGTGTTTTGTGCAATAGCCCAGTTCCTTCTCTTCTTTCAAGATAAACTGAGGCAGTGTCAGTCCTTCAGCAACTTGTACTGGACCATCACTCAACCACTCAAATATCAGGTCATTCATTGTGTACCCAACTGGATTAAAGAAATAGAAGTGAAAAACTGAGTGTATCTTTTCAAAGAAATTTGAAAGTCTAGACATGTAAATAAACAAATAAGGAAATCATCTAAAGCAGACACATTGAAAAGCATTCTTAATAACAGAGCTGTAATCGCCACAATGGCTATATGTCATTGGAGCCAAAGGTACTGAATATGGCAAGCTATTTCTGTGTAATGAAATGATGCATCTAATAAAATCTACTTTCTCTTGCCCCTTCATTCGCTATCTCTGAAAAACTAACAAGTAAACACAAAATTTCCTTTGAAGACTGTCTTTATTTTAAAAAAAATGGTTACTTTGGCAGTCCAGTAGAATAATCCAATTCACGATGTAAGTCTTAGTAGTTCAAGTGAAACCATTCTTTGTATTACTGAAAATGAATTTAGTACAGGCCTGCTTAAAACATTGCAGATGTGACCCTGTTTCTAGGGTCTACTAGCTTTACTTAGAGAAAATGATATGGATTATAGAAGGTCAACTGTCAGTTACTTTAACAAGTGGGGAAGGCTTCAGCCAGATACTATAACCTGAAAAGATAGGCAAAAAAGAAGAATCATGTATGCTAATGTCTTGATAAGTAAGTTCACTTCTCAGAATTGTTAATAAGAAGTGAAACAGATTCTCTGTTATGTAAGGTCATATGGTTATATGACTTGAACCATCCAAAGTAAGATACTTAATGGTTTCATAAACCCAAGTTAGCTCTGACACCCAGCTCCTGCTTAACTAGGTCATTATTTGTCAAGCGTTTCTTCATCTTTCTCCATTCCAGAACTGACAGCAGCTCTTCTTTCAGTCATTATTTTTCTACCTCCATTTTTGTTTGTGATACTTTAACTCTGAAAATGAGAGGGATGAGGACAAAGGATGTGATAGGTGGTTTGAGCTGGCCAATAACCTTTATTAAGTTCATAGATTCTTATTCTTGTTTACTGTAAGATAGTGACTCACCCAAGCTACCCAGAAATCAATAATAAATTTAATTGGTGTCTACTTTCCTCTTTCATTTGATCATCTTTCAAATTCAACCAAAAATAAAAACATGGAAAGCAAGGACTTGCAGGGGATCCTGTATAATTAGTATAGGAAGTCCACAAAGAAAAGGGCTCTCTTTCTTCAATACAATTCTATGTACATCCAGGTTACCTCCAACAAGTACCTTTATATAGTGAGCTTCTTGATAAAAATAGTCATCAGACCCCTGAAGCCTTGGCATGGAGCAGACAGACGAGGTAAAGAGGTGGAAAATAAGAAAGAAATGTTGAGGCAAAAAGTAAAGTCAATTTCCACCCTTTACATGCAAAGTTAGTAGGAAGTTCATTGCTGATTGATTACATTATTTCTAGGTCCTGTAAGACCTAAGCATACATACTAATTGGAGTTTCTTAAGCCTTGGACGAGCCTCAGTGGACAGTTATGGCTAATGTTTTACAGAGAAAATCAATGTGTTGTTTTGAAACAAGGGAGAGTATAGATAGCAAAGAAAACATGAAGAAGGAATCATTATGTTAAAACAAGGTGTTTTTCTCAACCACCTTCTCAAGAGAAGGGGCAATAGAGAAAATAATGAATACATAAGACTGATTATAATCAGAATTTCTTATTTTATCTCTGACAGCATCTTAAAACAAAGATGTTTCATTGTTTTGCTTATTTCTGGAGGAAGTTTCAAGGAACATCTGCAAATGATCAAAAAAACTCTGTCACCATTTATTTTTTTAAAAAAATAATAGTTGATCTGTGTTTTTACACTTAATACTTTCCTAAGCAAAGAAGTTAAAAGTATTTCCTTGTCCCTGCCTCATTAAATTTCCTACCATCCCTGTAGGTCAGTAATACTTATTATTCTTCACATTCTACAAACAGAGAAATTGAAAGAGCAAGTCAGAAGAAATTCCATGTGTCTTCACTGAAAAGACAATCAGCAGCTATGGCTCATGTCAAAGACTTCAGTGGCAACTGAACTAGGGCATAAAAGGGACAACATAGATGACATTGCTCTCACTATTCCTCTATGAATTCATTGCTTATCTAAGGAAGATGCCACTTTTTCAGACTTACCCCATCTCAGTTCATGCACTTCATTCTGTTTATTTATTTTTGAGGATCAAACCCAAAACCTTCCTCAGGCTAGGCACATTTTCTACCACAGATTTATATTCCTGGTCCTCATACCCCTCATTCTTGTATCCTTATGTGGCTGAGGCCTCTACAGCATGTTCTCAAAAACACTGTCCCTTCCTGAAAGAGTTGCATCCCGAGTGATGGAAGTATATGGTCATAAGGTGACAAGAAATTCAATAGTCTGATATCTAGCGTGATTCATTATATAAGTTGAATGACTAATGAGACATTTTAATTTTAAAGAAAAGATTACTAGATCAGACCTGCTTTTATGAGGAAAGACAATTTATTTAGTATGTTAAATTGAAATGTTGTCTATGGTATGCTGATAATGAGCTTCTCCTATCTACACACACACACACACACACACACACACACACACACACACTTTTCTGCCCTTTCATTAGAGAATGAGTCTTATGGGTATTTACTCCTTAATTACACACTAAAAGAGCCAGATCATTGGTTAAAACAAGCAAACAATCATTTCAACAAGTGGTGACTTACAGCTTTCCAGCTGCATTGTACAGGTCTGGACATCCATTGGAAAGTTCTTCAAGTCCATGGGACAGGATAAGGTCAAGGTGAGTCTTAGCAAAGAAAAACACATAAAACTTACTTTCCAGTCTGTGATAGCTAGTACTTGAGAAATAAATGAAAATCCATTTAGTATTAAGCAAAACATATTGATTTAAATACTGAAGGCTAAGCTTGACACACAGTGATAATTTCTGGTTTTCATAAAAAGAGTAGTCATAGGTAAAAATTGTAAACATTGTAGTACTTCATCACAATGCTTTATTCTATTTCCCATCTTTTGATTCTTTTCTTTTATCCTTACTTCCACCAATGGTGCTGATCTCAAGTTTAATCTTGTGAACAAGATCACTAAGAGAGGGTATAAGACGAACATTGAGCTCTTATCCACACTAATGTCCAACAGACATGAGATCTAGCCTGTTTTAGCATTATACCTTAGATCCATGGACCTTTGTTCATAGCCAATAAATGATGTGATCATCGCAGTTGATTGTGATAAGCTTTCATTCTTTTTACATCAAATGGGGAAGTGCTTAATTAACGTCACAGACTTTTCATTTACTGATCTACATGGATGGGTTGACAATATACTCTAGCATCCATTCTAGAATTATGACAATCCTATAGAAAGTAGTTCTTAAGCTAGAAAAACCCATCTAAGGGTGGTGGTTTGGGGAGTTTTAATCTTTCTGTACCAAATAGGACCTTCCTTTTTGTCTTCCCCTAATTTTTCTGAGTTCCAACTAGCTTTAGATGAGCCTTAAATCAGGATATTCATTAAGCTATTAACTTTTTTCAATCATTTCCTTTTTTATTCCTCAAAGAGATGGTGCACACTTCTTGCTCAAAAATTATTCCATACCTCCATGATTCAATGAAGGAAACTAGGATTGAATTCAGCAGATCAAAAGTTCTCTTCCTGGTCTTGCTGAAAATAATCTCCGAGCCTAAGCAAGATACTGATACTAAACATTTGTTTCTTCATCAGTCAAATGATGAAAAAAGCTATATACGCTTATTCCCATTTGATTCCAGTACTACAATTTTACTAGTCCTAATTCTGCTCTTGTCTCTCATACACCTTTTTGTGTTCAAAGACCTCTCTCTGACTATAGCCCTATATACCAAACTGTCCCTTGATATTCTGCTCATTCTCATTCGCCCCTCCTGGTTCCCTTCTCTTTATATGGTTTGTTTTATATTCCCTTCAAGCAAAAACAAAAACTAAAATTTGTGGCACACAGTTTAAAAGGAAGAAAGGTTTGAAATTTCAAGTTAGAGTGGATAAAGATTCCATGCTGACAACCTTCAAAGTCATTAAAATACAGCAATGGTTGAGAAATTCAAGGTACAAAGCAGTGCGGTGTGCTGACAATTATGTGAAATTATGTTTTCAGTCTTGGAAGTAAACACAGCACTATATTAAGAATACACATTTCTAGTTGGTGAAATGATTCATGTTTTGGTTTTATTCTGTATTTATTCTGCATTGTTTGTGTTGAGAACTATAGGCTATTTGAAAAGATCCAGAAAAAAGCTATTCATCAGTTTTCTCTTCATGTAATTAAGTGTGCCTTTTTAAACAATAACTGAAAAATAAAATTATAAAATTTTATTTCATTCAGCATTTTGCTATCATAATCATCTTATTTTAAATATACAATGTTTCACCTTCCTTACTAACTTAAGCAGCAATCTTTTCTGGACTGTTCCGAGAACCCAAACACTGGTTCTTTGAGAAAAATAGTGTTTTATGAGTTTTAAATGATTGATTTAAAATAGTATTTTAGACAGAATATCTGTCAATTGTGGGTTCCTTTGTAGGTATATATATATGATGTGTAGGCATCTACTTATATACCTAGCTATTTTTCTCTAGCATGAAGGCTTTATTTATTTTTATTTTTTGTCGGTCACTGGGCTTGAACTCTGGGCCTGGGCGCTGCCCCTTAGCTCTTCAGCTCAAGGCTAGCTCTCTACCACATGAGCCACAGTGCCACTTCCGGTTTTCTGGTGGTTTATTGGAGATAAGAGTCTCATGGACTTTCCTTCCCGGGCTGGCTTTGAACCGCAATCCTCAGATATCTGCCTCCTGAGTAGCTAGGATTATAGGCGTAAACCACCGGTGCCTGAGTAAGGCTTTATTTTTTTAAGAAAATGCAATTTTGTTGAGATTAGTATCATTAACTCCTAAAAAGGGAGAAATCTATAGTTTTTTTAAAAAAATGGATGCTTTACTAAGAACTGAGGAACCTCAAAAATATCCATGGTCTTAAAATTTTTATTACCATAATGAAATTCTGTTTTTCTCTTCTGCTTCTTAAATAGGAAATATTTCCATCATCTAAAAATATGTTCCTCCATAACTTGGCTATTGCAAATTATGCTGCAAAAGGCTACAAAGCCTCAATTAGATACAAGGAAAAGCTGTTTTTTGTGATATGTTACACAGTATGATAAATTTAATAAATAACGCATTACACATTTTGAAATTACTTAGAGTAAATTTCAAATGTTCTTGCCACCAAAATACATATTTGAGATGATGAATAAATTAGTTAGCTTCATTTATTTTAGTTGCATTCATAAATCATAACATCAGTTTGTGCCTTGTAAAATATACAAGTACAACTTGTCAATTTACAAATCACAAATTAAGAAAAAAATTATGTTCATTCCTACAAAACTAATCAAAATGTGTGTGGATACTTTAAGTGAATCAAGACCAGACAACCTGGAAATCTCATTTGAATTTTGAAAACTTTACCTTTGAGAAATTAGAAGATAGTACTAGTAGAAATGAATGTAGCTTAAAAGAACATACAGCATGAAGTTCAATTTGATACTGGAAACAATCCAACTTTTATATTCCTAATCATAGGCTTAACTGAATTTGATTCTTTTATAAAATGAACTTTCCATATTTATTCAGGGAGCAGAGGGCTCACATACAGTTACTCCTGCCTTTGTGGCAGATGCAACAATTCTATAGAGACCCAGAATTTGGGAGTGAAAGCTATTGACAGTATATAAGATCACATTGAGAAAATTCCCAACAACTATGAAACTATTCTATCTTGTTTCAGCTAAGAAATGAATGGTAGATTTTTCTTCAGATTTTTTAACTTTCCTTTCTAGATACGTTTTTTTTTTAATTTGGAAATGGATAGATGCCAATAATAAAAAAGGCAAGTTAACCTCTCTGTGATTTGTAAAATCATGTCATCAGCTAAGCATAGGAAAAGGTCGTAAAGACCTGTATGAGCTGTGAGGCCCCAAATTGCTAGTTTGCCATGCATCTGAAAGCCTTATGTCTAGGTTTCCCCTTTAGTTGTTTTTCTCCTTTTACATTTTATCTTTCTGTATGCATTAAATACTGTAAAAATATACAAATATAAACTTACAGTGTGATGATTTGTTGCATGTATATTCAGCTGTGTGGTAAGTATTCAGGTCCAGAATTATAATATTCTCATTGCCTCAGAACATTCTAGAACCTTCCAACATAACTACCACACCATTTATTTTTTAGAGGCTATTTTGTGGTTTAAGAATCACAAAAAAAAACAAATTTGATATTTTCTACAATCATGATTCAAAAAGAAAAACTAGTTTGATTTTTAAACAGCCAACTTAAAATTTCACACAAGAAAAATAGTTGTCAGTTGTGGAGATATGGATATAGTATGAACATAAATATTTGGTTATCTAATTATTTTCTTCAGAATGAAAACTTTAACTTTTTTGAAATATAATTTAGTAGATAAATGCCATAAACTCAAGTAAAGGCAGAGTAGAAGAGCCAAAATGAAAACTTCTAGCAAAAAGAAAATAAGGTAAGTACCTAAGAAGCCTTCATATGCTTAAAATTTGGATTACTGCAATAATTTTTAAAATTTTCTGTTTTAAACAGGAAATACATTTAACATGCAAAAATATGTTCCACCATAATGTGGCTATTGTAATAGTGCTATAAAAGAATATAAGGCCTCAGTTAGACACAAGGAAAAGTGTTTTTTGAACTATACTACAGTCCTATTGCAATTATAACTAACATGTTCAGCAATATGGAAAAATGTGGTCAATTTTTGGTGTTTTTTGGTGGCTCTTACAGAATTATACATTTTCATTGAAAAGCCAGTCTTCTTCCAAATTTTCCTAGAAGCTCTGACTTATCTTTGACAGACACTGCCTATAGCACGTCAAATTTCTTTTCCTCTTTCCCCTGATCTCAAATATTATGATTATTGCGCCTGAAGGTAGTGAGCAGAGGCCACCTTTCTTCCTTTTGATTTGTGTTAAAGAACTCATTTCCTGAAGCACTGTCACCCACTCTCCAATTGTCAACACAGCAGACATATGTGCAATAGGGCACCCTATTTCTATTTGAACAAGAAAAAGGAATACCATTTCCTTTAGGAGACTCTGCTCTTTATTGAGAATAACAAGATCAAAGAAAAATATTTTTTAAAACGAAAAGCATAACAGAACACAGAAAATGCCTTCCCAACTCTTTCTCTTCTTCCTCTCCTGTTCAGTTTTCCTTGTTTATAAAACCAGCTCTTGTATTTATGACCTATTTTAAGCTTAAATTATTGACAGATCCTGACATTATAGTTTCAATTATCTTTACAATATTTTAAGTCAAATATTCTAATTTTATATTTTTAATTATCTTTCCACTTACAATGCAAAACCATGAAGTCTAGGACACTTTTTATTTTAATCATATAAAACCATTCCAGGCACCAGATGAATGAAGCAGCATCCTAAAATTCTGTGGGAAAATTTCCAGCTTTCATTCTATGAGAATGGGAAAGAACAATTGACCTAGAAGGAAGGAAACTGATTATCAGAGCCTACAAGGTGTTGCCAAATTGCAAGATGGCTGGAGGAAGCCAGAAAAGCTTGCGGGGGCTCCTGTGTAAGTTGATGGCAGATATTCACTGGAAAGAAGGTTAATCAACATGAAGGAAATGCAGAAAGGGAAGGCCACCTGTTCATAAATTTTACACAGGTAGATGGGACACAATTAGGTTTGTTTTCAAAT